ACTGCCCCTTCCAAGTGGTGAGGAGCTGTTCTCCCTGGAACTGTCCACCCAGGGGCCCTTGGCTGATTGGTGTGGTCACCTGGACATGGTCCTGTCCTCTACGAATCTTGGTGCCCTAGGGGGCTCTAGTGCCTGTGTGCCTTGGGACATGGTCCTCGAATGAGGACAGAGGCATGCCTGGACTCAGAGTCCACTGCTGCCACATCTTAGCCAGGTTAGGCTCTGGAGGGCAAGCCTGGGTTTAAATTCACAGCCAAGGGCCATTTGACGCCTATCCCTGCTGTCACATGGCCATACTCCCCAACCTACAGGGAAGGCTTTGTTGAAAGACATGAGGGCTAGTCCGCTCTGCTGGGGTTGAGGCCTGAGCAGGACATGACCTCCAATGTGGTCTTCTGGTGACTTTATTTCTGGATGGGCCAAGTGTGGCCGGCATATGGAGCCAGGGACCAGAGCAGCCCCTGTCCTGGGTCTAGCTGAGTCGCCAGGACTCAAGATTTCTGAGTCCTCAGCCCCAGGATTTCTGATTATCAAGGGAACAGAGGAGGTTTCAGGTGTCCCCTGACTGGTCCTCATGACAAAAGAAGGGCTAGGATGTTCATTGAGTCAGCACTCCCCATTTCCACTCTCCCTCCATCTCCGAAGTGCCACAGGTCTAGGAACAAGACCAGTCCCTGCTCCTCTGTATCTTTGCAGGGGGCCCTGGGTGGGGACCTCAGGGGAGCGTCCTCCTTGGGATGCTATGGGGATAGCCCGCAGGGGTGCTGTGTTGGTGCTGGCTGCCTGGGGGCTGTTTGGGTGTTCTCAGGGTGGGAGAGGAAGAGGGTCTGGGCCAGGGCCTTTGGTAGCTGGGGAAATGACGGTCTGTGGGCATCCCGGAGCTGTGGTGTGCTGGAGTGGGCAGCCAGTCAGTGGGATGGCTGTAGTTACACTGGGTGAGACCTCCTGTGCTGACCCTGCATGATTGTTCCTTGATTTTGGCCCAGTGGAGCATTTGGACTGCTGGGCTGTGATCATGGTCTTGCATTGCTGTGAGATGTCAAGACTCCTTCCTTCAAGTACTATTCATGAGCCACTTCTGTCCCCACCATGGCAAATATGCCCCTCCATTGCCTGTAGGTCCCCAGGCAGGGGTCTTACTTTCTGACTGTCAGCCCTGCCCATCCCCTCGGGGCACCAAGTTTGTCTCCAAGTTCTGTCTCCCTAAGTGCTAATACTGGAGGGCTGGGTGGGCACCAGGGGCACCAAGGTCAGCCCAATGGCATGGGCAGGCCTCTGAGTACAGCCCCTGCACTGATACTCCACTTGTTCCCACCCCCTCTGTTGACCCTGCTCTGTGGGAGGGACAGGCCTAGGCTGGACACTGGCCCAGCAGGCCCAGATGGTGACCTACTCAGGCCAAGGTAAAGAAATGAACTCACGGGCCTGGGGCTAGACCCAGCAGGAGCCAGCAGGAGGCCCCAACCTACTGGCTGGACTTCAGTCAGGGCCAGGTGGGTGGGAAGGCTGCTCTTTCTGGGAAGTGCCCTCTGGCCGGCAAATGTGCCTAGATCTGCCCTTCCTGGCCTCAGCTGCACACCATCCCTTGCAGCTCCTTCCCTGGGGACCAGCTTTCCAGGCTCTCCAGGCAATGGCTTCCTCAGAATGACAGATGTACAGGGTCTGCTACCAGGACAGGGTAGGCCCCAGGGCTCCTGCCTGGAGAAATGAAGGGGAAAGGGGAGCCTGTAGCAGCTGGAGCCCAATATAGAGATGGTTGCATGCAGAGGCCACCTGACTGATGAGAGGACACAGCCTCTGCCAGGACTGAGAACTGCTGGAAGATAGATGCCACCAACACATTTGAGGGGCCACCTCTTGTCAGGGCTGGTGGAGCAGACAGAGGACAGCCACGGGCCTGGATCCAGCGTGGCCTGAAGTCTATCCTTCCCAATCTCTGTAGTTACAGGATCTGGGAAGGAAAACAGACCCGGTCAGCATCTCTTGACTTCTCGGTCAGAAGCCGTGGTTGGTGCAGAGGGGAAAAGGACCCCACCAGGGTGGTGGGTATAGCCTCAGTCCTGTAATTCTACTAGCACATGCTGGCAACCCAGATTGCCCTACCTTCTATGTGGGCTGGTGTGCAGAGAATTCACCACCTCCTGAGGTACAGCTTCCACCTGTACACAGGCTACAATCCTACAGTCAGAGTATGATTCCTGCCAGCTGAGGGTCCACCACTGTGGAGAGGGCTGGACATGGTATGGTGAGACCAATGGAGGAGCCCTGGGCCGCAGGGAGGCTGCCTTGTGGCTGACTGGGGAAGGGTGACCCTGCCAAGTGTCCAGGTCTTCTCGAGCCTCAGTTTCCCCATCTGTGCAGAGGGCCTGAAGAATCTACCCTCCCAAAGCTAAGGCAGGGTTAACAGGGAGAAGGGAAACCATGAAATCCCGTGCACATATTTGGGGCAGGGTTGGGGGAGTGTCCATGCTCAAACTGAATTTCTCTAGGACCTCCTCCCTTCTTGCCTGGATCCTGTGTCTGAACCCTGTGCAGGTCTCTCACCTAGGCATTAGGTGAGACATGGACCAGGCTCAGGCTGGGGTGCTTGGGACCTGGCTCTGCAGGGTGAGCCCCATTCATCAGGAACACTGTGTGCCAGCAGAAGGAGAGGAAGAGAAGAAGCAAGGCAGGAGACAGCAAGGCCAGTGTTCGGGAGCCCCTGTGTATGACCTACCAGTAGCCATCCCATCCCACAGGAGAGTGACCCTTCCTGGGCACATTTGAGGACCACCAAACCACAAACCATTTAGTCCAAAGACAGCCATCAGCATTCCTAGCCTTCTTAGGATCAACTCTAGCAAGATGCCAGGCCACAGTCAGGGATTTCTGACCCAAGACCATGTCTTCATCAGCATACTGTGCAGGATATCTCCATGGACCCTCAGTCCAGACCCAACCAATTCACTGACTTCAACCTCGGCCTCCTCATCCAAGGCACAAAAGCAAAAGAGCTCTTTTGCAAGAGCACCAATCATCCACACATCATCCACCTATCCATTCATCCATCCATCCACCACCATTTACCCAACCTCTATCCATCCATCTATCCATGCATCATCTATTCACCCATCTGTCCAATTACTCAGCAAGACAGGCATTCATTTGGAGAGCTGGAAGCGTGGCTCAAGCAGTAGAGTTCTTTCCTCCCAAGCATGAAGTCCTGAGTTTAAACCTCAGTAAAGCCAAAAGAAGAAGGAGAAAAAAAAATAAGCATTTGTAGCCTTCTCTGTGACAAGTGCCATCTTGGAATATGGGATAGAATGAAGGACAAAGAGACCTCCCTTTGTGCAGTTTGTATGTTGTGGATCAGATACACCACAGGATGTTGAATTGTGCCATGAGGCTCCACTTGTGGTGCCAACCCCATAGCATGGGGTTGGTCTTGTTGGGGTCATCAGGGATGGCTTTGAGTCCATGCCTACCCAGCCCCACCCCATTCAGAATCTGCTTGGATTCTGAATCTCCTGCCATGGACCATACTCTATCGCCCAGGGGAAGGCGAAGGTCTGCTTTCAGAGGGATTCTAAACAGGCTCCCACCCAGGTGCCACCCTCCCGAGTGGCAGGGTATTCCAGGAGGGTGAGGGTTAGGCCTGAGGTGGGCCATATCTGGATGCTGTTTTCTCTCTGGCAACAACTGACTGTGGGACCACATCCATGGCTGGGCTTGGGCTCAGCATGGCAAGGCTGCTCTTGTGGCTGTTTGTGAAAAGCTTCCCTATACCTTACACCCAGTGAGAACCAGGCATGGGGTTCCTTATCCCATATCTCAAGGGCCCATGTCACCTTCCCAGCCTGTGGTGTCAGAATCAGGGCCTCCCCGTGCTCCGGAGCCCTGACTATTCCTGCCTATTGCCCTGGCCCAGCTGCACACCACCATGGCAGCCTCAGAGCTCTTGGATGGGAGGCATCTGTGAATTTACACGGTGGGGGCTTAGCAAGAGAGGAGTGGAGGGCTTTGTCCTGGGGGCTGAGGTGCCAGCTTGGAGGTGCTCAGAGGAGGAGCAATCACAGCTCTGCAGGGTCAGTGGGTCCCTGGGTTCTTGCCTCTCACCATCCCAAGGTCACAGTGATCACACTCTCAAGCTTTGGGCACAGTGCATTTATTCATGCTGAGAGTAGAGGAGGAGCAGAGTTGGCTGGGCAGCAGCTACTTCATCCTTCAGCAGATATCCAGATGGGATGACCACTCTGATGGGGTGAGGCATAGACAGTTAGGATGGAGGATAAGGAAGAGGAGAAGAGGAACATAGACCGGGGTAGGGGGGTCCTTAAGAGGGACAAATGTGGACAGAAGGTAGGGCAGATGAGAGACAAGAGGGAGAAAGGGGACCAGCAGGGACTCCAGGGGAAGGCGCTAGGGTCAGGCAGGCTAGGAAGGTGCTAAAGGACATGGTCCCCAGGTGCTGCTGTCACCAGCTCAGGGTCCTCTGGAAGCCCCTGCCCAACCCTGCCTATTCTCAGAGGCCCCAGACTTGTGGCAGATCCAGGTGGCCTGGCCAGGCACAGTGAGTGTGCAGGTGTGTGCAGATGTACACACAGCCCTGTGCATGTGGCAAGTGTGCATGGGAGTGGCACAGGCTTGCAGTCCTAGCACTCAAGAGGTGAGACAGAGGATCACAAGTTCTAGGCCAGCCTGGGCTGTGCAGTGAGACCCTGTCTCAAAAAGACAATAGCAGGAGCAGGGGTGTGGCTCAAGTTGTAGAGCACCTGCTTTTGAAAGCATGAAGCTCCAAGTTCAAACCCTAGATACACACACACACACAAATATGCAATGTAAGTGTAAGTGCGTGCACACACAGTGTGTCCATGTGGCTATTCAGGGGTGAAGGTCCAGAAGTGACAATCAGAGGGGCACAAAGGAAAGGAAAGGCCCCTGGAAGAGAAGGGACTTGGTGGGGGGATCCTGGCCTTTCCAGGAAGAGAGTGACAAGGGACAGGGCTCATCCCAGAAGTCCCTCAGCCTTGTCTCTCAGGGGCTCTCCAGTGCTGGACAGGCTGTCTGAGGCCCAGAAGTTCCCGGGATGAGCCCCTGTCCCCTGTGAGCAGGGCACCAGGGTGGCAAGGGGGATCCCAGGACAAGGGGCCCAGGGTGGGCAGGGGTGACTGGGACTAGGGTGAGAGCAGAGAGCAAGGAGCCACAGCCCCTGCATTCTGGCAGAGTGAGCTCCATGGACGGGCACTAGGGTCCAGCCCCTCTGGGGCTGCCCAAACCCCATGATGCTCCTAAGCCTGAGCAATACCCGTCCACACCCACCACGAGGTGACACCAAGCTTGTGAGGGCCGGTGGAAGCGCCCTCCAGGCCCCATTTCCATCTCCCATTGTCCACTCCCTGTGAACCCATTACCGGTCATATCTGGGAACATGATGTTTTTCTTCGTGAGGCCTTGGGCTCTGGCCAGGCAGAAAAACTTGTCTAGTGTCCTGGGAGGCAGACTCCAGCTTCTTCCTGTGGCCCGATGAGCACAGCACAGCTCTCAGCACTCAGGGGTGGCCAAGTGGCCGGGCCACTTGCCCTCAAAGTTGCCCCCACCCAAGCCCAGGAAGTGCCACAGAGGGTCACACAGGACCCGGGGCTCACCCAGAAGGCTGACCCTGATGACGGTCTGCCTGCTGACCTGTCGGAGTGAAAGCATCAGGGCGAACCTGGTATAGTCAGTGTCCATCACTTGCGTGTCCTCTTTGTCCGACCCAGGTTCTGAGGAGCACAGATGTTAGGTCCCACAGGCTAGCCCCAGTCCCCCAGCCTATGTCTGTCTCACCTCCATGGTCCACAGTGAACTGCCCCGGCTGAGTCGTTGGGATCAGCACGTAAGACCAAGTGTCACAGCGCTTGCCCCTGTGGCAGACGACAGGGCAGAAGGCTATAGAAACTGGCCAGGCCCACCCCAAACAGCCCCCTAGAAGAATTCAGGTATTCATGTAGAGGAGTCTGCATCCCAGCTGTAGAGGATTCTTGTCTCCTCTCCCCAGGCTGGGGTCTCTCAGGCTGTCCTGGGTCTCTCAGGCTGTCCTGGGTCCCTCAGGCTGTTCTGAGTCCTTCCGAGGACACTGGCTCCTTCTGGACTTGGCACAGAGCCCCAAATCCATGTGGATGTACAATGCAGAGAAAAGGTGTTTGTGGGTGGCCACTTCTCCTCTGGGTGTGGCAGCTGGCATCCTAGCCAGGAAGCTCTGGTCTTGGCCTATGGGGTCTGGAGGTAAAGGCTGAGGAGAACAAGGGCAGTGGTTGCTGGCTGGGGACACCCTCTCACTAGCAGGGGCTTCCTGAAGGAATGCACTTATTTTGAGAAGCAAAAAAGCACAGTCAGACCTACAGGGTGATGGTGTCTGGAGGGTAAGGCTCCCCAGGGCTGCTGGGTGAGCTGTGCTAGCCCTGGATCCCCTGCTGCCCTTGAGTCAGGATAGGCAGGTGAGGAGACAGGGAAGAGGGTCACCTGAAGAGAGTTGGACTCTAATTGAAACAGGACTAGGAGGTAAAAACTGAAAAGCCAGAGCAGTGAGCTCTTCCCTAGCATCCCCTCCTTTTAGATGTTAAGTTACAAGAACTGACTGCATCTGCCTCCTCCTCTGAGACGTGAGAAGCAGCAAACTTTTCATGGGCAGACAGAGAATTAAAGGCCAAGTGTGGCAAATGGAAGTCCTGAAAGTCATCTGTTGTCCCTGTGTTTTGGGTAAGCCCAACCCCATCTCCATGTTTTAAAATAATAAACAGGACCCATCTTGGCAATGCTTGGAGTCAAAGACCCTCCAGAACCCATTGTGTTGCTAGGTGACCAGGTGTCTAGATAGGAATTCAACATGAAACTCTTCAGATAAACATTCCTTCAGATGGACACTCCTGGTTTTGGAATGAACTCTGGGGACCTCC